AAAACATAAAGATAATGAAATGTGAGAAATGATACGATATAGTTAGTATATCTAAGGTGGTATAGTGTTTGTATCTTCCCTCCATCCCCAAACAAAAAATACTCATTAAATTCATTACTAGGTGTCAAATTCATTACTAGGTGTCAAAGTCATACCCAAAAAGAAATTTACAAAAACATATGTTGCGGGAACATGATTTGAACCTGTGATCTCAAGGTTATGAGCCTGGCGATTCTTTCACTCTACCTCGTGTTAAAAAAATAGGGTACTATTAATATTCGAACATGGATTGGATGTGCCCCCTCCCATAACTATATAAATAGTATAGCCCATTTATACATATGGTAAAGGGACTCAGCCCTTTTATGATCATAGAGATTCATATAAATTTGAAGGATTCTTTTTTTTCCTTACCAGCTCAATCTTGTTGCCCCTGGCAACAAACATGCATGAACCATCATGCAGAGTACGTATCCGGATAACCCAAAATCTCGATAGTTAACTGCCTAAACTCAAAGATAAATGCTAAAAATGAAAGGATTTCAAATCAAAATGGGTGGGAACCATTGGCTAACCGCCCAACTATTGTGTATTTTTAGTCATAATACGAGACTAAGTACACTTAGGAGCCGTTTGGATACCTAGAAATATATTGTCTGTGAAATATATTACAGGCATAATACATTATTGCGTAATACATTATCTGCAAATGGATTGTCACTGTTTGGGTAGTATTTAGATGTAACTTGGGACATGCATTTCTAGTGTTTGGCGATGTCTCAAAGAAATATGGGATATGTATTACCAACCAAATATGAAAAATATGGCTATGTTTGTCTAACATAATTAGACTTTGCTTTCAACGTGATAAGTCATTGGAATATTATGATTGAAATAATATGATTTTATTGTGATAAGCCTTATTTTTATTTATTTTTTATAAAAGTCTTTCAAATGTCTCTCTATATATAATTTCAAATACGTAATAAATTTATGATACCAAAATCAAAATCTTTACGGTATAAGTTAAAAAATGGGAAGAAGTTTGATTAGTAAACTAGAAGGTTTGGTAATTACAACAGAAAATTTTGAAACATTGAAGGAGACTAAAGAGGTATCTTATTTCAAGCTTTTACTAATCTCTTATGAGGATTATGTTGTGTGAAATATTTTATTATGATTGTGTTGTGTAATTTCTTGTCTATTACCAATTATTATTTTTATTTTTGTATGAGCTAATGGCTTCAAATGAGGGCTACAGCCAAATTGGAGATAGGGATGTAGAAATTCTTTTATTATAATTAGAAAATATTCCCTCATCAAGTTCTACATCTATTCCAATCAATTTAGATTTCCCCAACTTTCACTTACCAATTATGTCGAAATTTTTTTATTACAATTACAATAGAAAATATTCCCTCATCAAGTTCTACATCTATTCCAATCAATTTAGATTTCCCCTACTTTCACTTACCAGTTATTAAAAAAATTTGTTTTCATATGAGAGTAAAATGAGGGCTACAATCCAAATTAGGAATAGAGGGATATAGAAATTTTTTTGTTTTTATATGAGAGTAAGATGAGGGCTACAATCCAAATTGGGGATAGATGGATGTAGAAATTTTGTTATTATGATTGCAGTAGAAAATTGTTCCTCATTAAGTTCATACACCTGTTTAAATCAATTTAGATTACCCTTTTCATATCCCCTACATTCATTTTCTACTTACCTTAATAATTATTTAATACAACATAGACTACGAAAATATTATTTTTTAAGCGGGATTGGGCAGAGAGACGCACATGAAAGATTTTTAAAGATCACCCGTTAAGTGAGTAATAGATTTTTCACCCTCACTGCGCATAATGGATTTCGTGATTTTTGGAGAAATCTCGGGTAATCTCAAGTAATCTCTTTCCATTTCTTTATTATTAAAGTATACCCAAATAGTGGAAATGTCATATTTTTTTGTAATTTATTGTCACGTAATAGATTACCAGGTACCCAAACGGCCCCTTAGAGAAATTCACATACAAACCCAAGGGTGCAATGCATGAAATAAGTATTAAACAAATGTCAGTTCTATATACATTGACAAATGGTGGCTCATTATACAAACCCAATGGATATGATGCTTCAAAAAATTTACGAGGCGTGACCCTTGTATGATAGTGGAGTATGATGTGCCTAGGACTTATCATGTGAGGACCCTTATATGCCTTTAAAATCTTGATCATCGATTAATTCATATACCTTAGCTAATGACTAATGATAGCAAAGTTTATCAAGCCATCTCAATTCAAGACAAGCTCTGAGACATATATCTTGATACCTCACTATACTTTTCTACACAATACTGGAAGAGTTTGGATACTGTACGATATATCTTCGAAACCATCGTCAGTCAAATATGTGCATCTTGGCTAACGACCGATCGTAAAAGACTATTTGGCTATCTCAATTTGAGAAAAGCTCTAGGTCATATATGTCTGATGCCATAATATAACTCGCTACACGATATTAGAAGAGTTTGAATACAGTATTGTATGTCTTTGAATAGGTCGTCTACCAAAGAAGGAGCTTTGACAGCAGATCATAAGGAAACCTCATCATATGATATCATATTTGTGTCCTTGTATATACATTCAATGAGGCATTGTATGCCTATAGTCCAAGAATCATACAAATTAGACATCATTTGGCTCATCATCCATAATTTGTCGGCGGCTACAATATACCTTGACTGACGACCCCAAACATGATATTTTTTGGATTGATTTGAAACTCTTGAAAAATCATATTTGAGGCATCATATCATAATATGCCTTGACTGACGACCCCAAACAAGATATTTTGGGATTGATTTGAAACCCTTGATAAATCATATTTGAGGCATTATATCCCTCATTCCAAAGTTTTAGGTCATTTGGAGATCGTTCAACCCCTATATTCATCGACAACCAGATCCTTATACATCGTTTACCAAATAGATTGCTAGGATGGCCTTCAGTAACTAATTTGAAATTTCTCCTCATCTAGAAGATGTTTTCTTATGGGACCTAGACTATTAGATTCATGACTTGATGCTCTATCATCTATGTAAGTGTGGCATCCTATGGATCTCTCATGTAAGAATAGCAAGCTCCGCAAAAGTAATCATAAAAAATATGCGAACGCTTGGTTGTCGCTGCATGATTTCTCCCAATTTATGGTGAATATTGAGCCCAAAATTTGTGGAAATGTATGTCATAGTTCCTCTATAAAATTATCATAGTCCATGGTCTATAATTCCATGTGGTGAGAGTGATTGACCCCACAATCCTCAGATATGTCCTCGCAATCTATAACATAAATGTGTTCACCTCGATGGACCATATCTCCTACATCGATAATCCATTTAAGGTAAAGTCTAAACTATTGTATTCATCTCTGAGTCCTCTATTACTTCACAAAATTTCATGGTGAAAGGATTTGTCGTAAAAAAGCGGCAGTGAAAATACTCAAACATATCATATTTGCTCTACACACTAGTAGACAACTGATAAGAAATAACTACTTTCATTGAATTTTCCCATTGAGTATCGTGATGGATTTCGGTAGTTACACCTTCAACTTCAAATATCAAGACAAGATCAAGTTCAAACAATGACTGAATTTATCATTAAAGTCACCTGGAGGTATTTTCAAAAAATTGAACAAGGATATGATCTTATCATTTTAAACCAAGTCATGAACGATAATTGGTTATAGTCAATAATGTGGATATGCATCATCAACCTTCTTCTTCATCAAATCAGAAAACTTATTTAAACTCACGTCTCAGGGACGGATGGAAACTGATCTTGGAATCCATACATGCCCCCTCAAAAATTTTCATTCTTGTGCATGGTTTAGAGAGAGGAAGAGACAGGAGTGATTGTATATCATCAAGTTATTGCACTGGCAGTCAAGCGATAGGCTACCAATAGTGCCATTTTATGTTTTGTGAGTGTCTTCGTCAAAGAGAGAGAGAAAGCTTTTTATTACTTGACTCACTTGAAGCCTCAATTCGAGGAGTAGATCTATGGACTGTGAAAGTGTATATTTGTTTTCCATTTTTTTTGTATATCATATAGGTTGTATGATTTACTTTCCTTTTTTGTCTATCACCACTGTATACATATATGGGATTTCTCTCTCAAATTTAATACAGAAAATAGAGATATCTTCTCACATGGTATCAGAGCCTAGTTGATTGGATGTGGGAGCCATCTAATCACCTTGAGAAACCACCACACCCAAAACTGCACATAGAAACCACCATCTGAAATGTGAAATGACCATCTGAAAAACCGAAACCACCATCTGAAAAACCGAAACCACCATCTAAAATCTGAAACCACCATCTCTAAATCAGTCCTATTATCTGAAAACCATTCACGATTTGAACTCCATTTCTCTATTTAGGTCTCGTATTTTAGAGAGAGAAAAAGTATCTGAAAACCATTCACGATATGAACATCGTTTCTGAATTTAGCTCTAGTATTTTAGAGAGAGAAAGAGTGCTCCAAGAAACTTCAAGAGCTACTGGTTTGGAATTGTTGGTGTATGGGTCACGTCTTTCTCTCAACGAAAAGATAGGTGAGGCTTTCATATTGAAAAAGGACAGATATCAAGGAAAAAGAGTTGGTGGTTTGGATTGTTTCTTGGTGGGTCACTATATTCATTTGATCTTGCAACTAGTGATTTATATTGTTTCTTGCTCGACCCAATGGAAAAGTCTGAATCTTTTTAGGTTTTTTCCAATAAATTGTGAAAATTGTAGTAGACCACTTTTGTAAATTGTGGCAACCAAATTTCTTTGTTAAAAAAAAAGAAAATAGCGCAATAGCTATTGAGTCAAGTTAGACTTTAGAGGAACACAAATCTAATCTATTTGCCATGATTATTGGAACTCAAGCACTTGGTGTAACACCATTAGATATTGTTATTGCTTCTTCACCAATCACTCTTACAATAGAACAACTACAGTGGTTGCTCTCACAATCCCAATCGCCCAAAAGGTTTGTGCCTGCTTGTTCAGGTAATACTATTTCAGCTTCCTAGTTAACAGACTCAGATGCTTCTTGTCAACTGACCGCCAATGAGCCTATTCTTATTGACTATAAACCTTGCCTTGATATTATTTAGACTGCTGATGGTACCATTATGAAAGTTTCTAATGTTGGGTCTATTACTGCATCCTCTGATCTTTCTGATAAATTGAATGTTTCTGGTATTTATCATGTTCCTCCATTTGCCATGAATCTGCTTTCTGTTTGTCAAATTACTTGTTCAAATTGTAATGTTGTATTCACTCCCTTTGGATGAGATGTGCAGGATTGGCAGTTAGGGAAATTGATTGGGATTGAGCATAAAGTTGGTGATCTCTATTATCTTGACCATCTTCATTTAAAAGCTCCCATTGAAACATCTGCATGTGTTGTGATACCTAATAAAGGATCTTTGTGGCATCAACTTATGGGTCATATTTCTTCCTATCGGTTTCAATATTTGTCTTCTTGTGGTGTTAATTCTATTTCTTCTAAAACTTTCTCTACTATTAAAGAACGTGAGTCGTGCAAATTCTCGAAAATGCATGCATTACCATTCAATCGCAGCAATTCAATTTGTTCTTCTATGTTTGATCTAGTGCATACTGACGTATAAGGACCAACTCCTCTTGCATCAAAGAGGGGGTCTCGGTCTTATAGCATTTTTGTTGATGATCATACCAGATATACTTGATTTTTTTATGAATAACCACAATGAACTATATGACATTTTTGTTTGGTTTTATTCATACGTTGAGACTCAATTTTCAATCAAAATCAAAGCCTTACAATCAGATTCTAGTGGGGAATGTATCAGTGGGATGCTTCAAAAGTTTATTTCTGACAAAAATATTCAATACCAAAAATCTTGTCTATAGACTCCTGAACAAAATGTATTGTTGAATGCAAAAATCACCATATCTTAGAAATTGCACGTGCTCTTCTCTTGTTAGCTTCTGTTCCAAAGGTTTTCTAGACAGAAGCTGCTCGCACAATTGTTTATCTGAATAATATTATGCTTTCTGCTACTTCGTCTGGATGTTCCCCTTTTGAACGATTATTTGTCAGCCCCCAAACTATTTTGCCCTCGTGTTTTTTGTTGCACTTGTTTTGTTCTGTGACCAACATCTAAACGGGATAAATTGTCAGTCAAAGCAATTAAATGTTGTTTTTTGGGTTATCCTGATCACCAAAAGGGATCGATGTTATGACCATTTGATTAAGAAACTTTTAGTATCCTGACATGTTGTATTTTCTGAGCATATTGTTTTTTATTCCCCTCCACCTATTACTGACTCCTCTTCTACTTTTTTTCTGATCTCTTTCTCTAATGATGTTTATGATGTGTTTAGAACTTCACTTATACCTCTTATAGATGGTCCATTTGTAGAATACTCAATTACTGTTGATGAACCACTTCAGGAACCTGCATTTGTTAATCCTGTTTGGACGCCTTCTATCCGCCGTAGTAACCGTGTATCTGTTTTACCTGCTCATTTTGTTGATTATGAAACATTTTTACCAAAATATTAAGCCTTTCTTGCTTATGTTCATTCCCACTCTGAGCCACAGATTTATGACGAAGCTGCCACACAACATGAGTGGCAACATGCCATGGTAAAAGAATTGACTGCCTTTGATAGAATGCGTGCTTGGGATCTTGTCCCTCTTCCGAAAGATAAAAGTGTAATTCGATGCTAGTGGGTGTAAAAAATCAAAACTAAAGTTGATGGCAGTATTGAGCGTTATAAGGCACGCCATGTGGCTAAAGGTTATAATCAACAATTTGGAATTGATTTTGTTGAAACTTTTGTTTTTGTTACCCACGTGACTACAGTTCGCACTCTAATTTCTATAGCTGCTGTTCGTCAATGTCAATTATATCAGTTCAGTGTCAAAAATGCATTTCTTAATGGAGATCTTGCAGAAGAAATTTATATAAAGTTACCTCCTAGGGTTTCAAATTGTGACAATAGAGTCTGTCGAGTACGACGCACACTTTATGGGCTTAAACAACCTCCTCATGCCTGGTTTACAAAATTTAGCTCTGTTGTTGTCTCTGCATTTCGACAGAGCTATCATGATCCTGCTATGTTTGTCTCAATCACACCTAGAGGATGTACAATTTTGTTACTCTATGTTGATGATATGATTATATGTGGTGATGATGATGCCACTATTCATCTGATCAAGCAACAACTTGGTTAATTTTTTGAGATGAAAGATTTGTGATTTTTAACATATTTTTTGGGCCTAGAGATTACTTATTCTTCCTGTGGGTATTTGCTTTCTCAACTTAAGTATGCCTTAGATATTTTTTCACAAGCTTGTCTAGCCAATGATACAAAACATGTTGATATACCTACTGAGTTGAATGTCAAACTTTGTTCTACAGATGGTGAGCTCCTTCCTGATGCTACATTTTATAGATAGCTTGTTGGAAGCTTGATTTATCTTACTATCTCTCAGCCGGACATTGTTTATGTTGTTCATCCAGTCAATGAATTCTTGAATGCCCATCGTTCTGTACACTTGGCAGTCGTTGTATGTATTATTCGTTATATTCGATCGTGCTCTCTTGTTCTCTTTATCTTCTGCTCTTGAGTTTCGTGCTTACATTGATTTTGATTTTGTGGGGGCCACTATGAATTGAAAGTCTACTACAGGTTTTGTATTTTCCTTGGTGACTCCCTTATTTCTTAGAGGAGTAAGAAGCAAAAACGTATTGCTCAGTCCACAGTTGAAGCTGAGTATATAGCCATGGCTCAAACAACAACAAAGATTGTCTGGCTTCAATGGTTATTAGTTGACTTGGGTGTGGAACCTTCGGCTTCTACTCCCTTATATTGTAATAATAAAAGTGCCATTTATATTGCTAGGAATCTAGAATTTCACGAGTGCACCAAGCATATTGAAGTAGATTGTCATTTTGTTTGATAGAAATATTTAGTTAGGACAATCTCTCTACCATATATCTCATCTTACGCACAACTTGCTGACTTCTTAACGAAATCCCATAATGCTCCTCGTTTCTCAAGCTTTTTTTCCAACGTCTCAATAGTTCACTTCCGACTATCACGAGTTTGAGGAGGAGTGTGAAAGTGTATATTTGTTTTACATTTTTTGTTGTATATCATATAAGTTGTATGATTTACTTTCTTTTTTTCTCTATCCCCAACGTATAGTCAGATACATGGGCCCTCATACGCCCCTTGGTATTGATCTTCTCCATTGTTTGTATATTTTCTTTTTAAATATGTGAATGTACAAGCTTCAAGGCCCAAATCAAGGGTGTTGGACCCCATATAGAGTGTTGATGTAAACTATAACAGGAATTAGAAATTTCTGGAACTCGTATAGGTAAAAACTCTTATTGTTTCCATAAAATGAAATTTAAGGTCATACAACTAGGATCGAATTTATCTAATGCCTTCTAAGGTCATGCAACTAGGATTAAATATGTGTGATTCCTTTTAATGTCATGCGATTAGGACAAAAAATGTATAAAGCCTTTTAAGGCAATGTGATTAGGAGTAGATATATATAATGCCATGTGTGGATGGTTTAATGTCATGAGGTTGTTGGACAATTTTTAGGCCTTTCTTGCCACTAGTTATAGATAGAGCATAGGCGACCATCCTGGGATGACCTTAAGTCTAGACACTTTAACGTCAATGGGATGGAGATTATGAAGGGCTAGGAACCTAGCATTTCTAGGCTTTGGGGTAAAAAGGAGGCAAAGTATACATATTCGGTCCTAGTCGCTTGACCTTAAAAGGCATCACATATATTTAATTAAAGTTGTACGACCTTAAAAACCATTACATAAATTGGTCCTAGTTGCATGACTTTAAAAGGCACAACAAAAAGAAAATCCAATGAAAAAAAAATTAAAAAAAAGAAAAAAAAAAATTGGTAAACTTAAAAGAGCATCACATATAAAAATGTTAATAAATGAGACGTTGCAAAAACCTCAAAAGGGTGTGACAGGACAAAAATGAAAAATGTGGGAGACATGGCACAAAAACAATGGTTGAAAGCATCAAAGTAAAACATGGATTATAGAGAGCCATCATGACACCTCCTCACCAAGCTCAGGTGAAACCCTGTATGGGCACTTGAACGATTTTAAGGTGTATTTTAATCACACATGGCACACCTCTACCAAAATATCTACTTGAAATCGAAGGACAATTTTTCAGGCATAACTTCATTGCTAAAACCCTTAGAAGTTAAGATAAGTGATGGTTCTCAACCAAAGACAACCCACATATTACAAATATGCGAGGTTCACTGCTCCAGCAAGAATCTGGCTACATACATCAAAAAACACAAAATATGAAGAGTATTAGAATGGCCCCCAATTGTTGCATGTTGGGCCCAAACTCGTGGGATTCTCATTTTAGGTGATAATAGTACTTCACATATAAAATCTATGAGCCCTAGGGTCAGTTACAACTAATAAAAAAGCACAATTAAAGCATTTCAAAAAATATTCAAATTGGCCTCAAACATATCTTAAAGTTAATCCAAAGATACTCTGAAGATATCCTTTAAAAATCAACTTGATACGATGTCGAACAACTAAGATATTTCAAAGTCAATTTTTAGATACTAATGGTCCATAGCTGCGGAGCTTGAAAAACGTGGCAAATTGACATAGGAAAGCCTTTGAAATGGCACTCGATCTATACGAAACTCTCGAAAATGGTAGAAAATGGCTGAAAGTCCTTAACCATGAAATTCGGCATCCATCTAACATCATTTAATTGGATTTTCTAAAACCTTGGAGTTATCACATTTTATTAAAAAGTCAATTCGTGTTACTATTTATTGTGTGAAAATTCTGCAAAATGGGCCCTTTTGGTATTTTTTAGAGCTAATTTTGCACAAACTCTATGGAGTTTTGATATGGGCTTTTGCACAAAATCTATCGAGTTTTGATGTGGGTCTTTGATATGTTATTGCTCTCAATGAAGGCTTTCAAGGGGTGTCTACATTGTGGGGACTTGGGCATAAGATAATAGTTAAAAGTTGGAGATGTGACATTGTGATCGGGGTAATCTTAGCCCTCCATTCAAAATGGACAGTTGGATAAGGGGAAATATATAAGTTTTATGTTGTAGGGGAAGCATAGAAAGCTTGCCCCGTAAGAGTTTCACCTAGTTTTTTATTAATTTAAGAATAAAACGTATTTTAAATCATTACAAATGCATTTTATTTTTAATCCAGATCTCTATGAAGTAAATACATAGCTGACAAAGTTTTTAAAAGAAGCTTTTTTTGAAGAGTAAATTTTTTTATAAACATTTTCAGATATATGATCATGGTGTCTCCCATCATCATCGACATAGTAAATTTTGAATCAAGAAATTCCATCTCCGAAAGAGATTTTAAAAGAAGCTTTTTGAAGACTAAAAATTTTGATAAACAATTTCAGATTTATGATCATGGTTCTCGGATCATGGACATAGTAAATTTTGGATCAAGAAATTCCATCTCCAAAGTAGATTTTCACAAGCCGCATTGTGTGTCCACAAGAGGCGCAAAATCCCCATACAACGCAAACCGTACAACCCAACCCTGTTCCAAAAAGTTAGTGTGTCCTCTCTATTGCTCTTTATACACTTCTCAACAGAACCTAGAAAGCGCATCCAAAGTTCATGCAACTAAGCGGTTAAAAAAAGGCAAAGTGACATGGGTAGTTAATTTTAAAAATCTATTTTAACCTAAACAGGGCACACTCGTCTTAATCCTTCAATAATCCGGAAAAAAAAAGACCTGGACAAATTCTCTCCCCCTCTCTCTCTCTCTTAAAAGGTTCCTTCCCCAAGAAACCTTGCCTCGTCTCCCTCCTCAAAAACCCTTGCTGCGGAGAGGCCCCCTTTCCTCCCTCCCTCGCCATTTCTGTCTCCGCTGCGGACGCCTCTGCGCGTGGGCATCACCCCCAGCACCACGACCATCATCATCCTTCCTCTCCACTATCATCATCTTTCCTGTCTCCGTCTCTAGGGCATCATCCAGGTCGTATCGCCTCGGTGAGCTTGGGATCGCATCAGAGATGGCGGATAACGCGCAGGTCCAGGCCCAGCTGAGCGCGATCCTCGGCCCGGACCCATCGGCCTTTGAAGCTCTCATCTCCCAGCTAATGGCTACAGGCAACGAGCAGCGTGCTCAGGCTGAAACCCTCTTCAACCTCTGCAAGCAGCACGACCCGGACAGCTTAGCCCTGAGGCTCACCCACCTCCTCCACTCCTGCCCCCAGTCTGAGCTTCGTGCCATGGCAGCCATCCTCCTCCGCAAGCAGATCACCTCTCGAACCGGCGATGACTCCTATCTCTGGCCTCGCCTCTCCCCTCAGACCCAGGCCACCCTCAAGGCCCAGCTCCTAGTTTGCGTCCAACGGGAGGATGCGAAGACCATCATAAAGAAGTTATGTGATACAGTTGCTGAGCTTGCTGCAGGGGTTCTTGCTGAAGGCCAGTGGCCGGAGCTTCTTCCATTTATGTTCCAGTGCGTGAGCTCTGATTCCCCACGATTGCGAGAGACCGCATTGCTGATGCTGGCACAGCTTGCTCAACTTGTAGCAGATGCTCTTGTCCCCCATCTTGACACCCTCCATTCGGTGTTCCTTCGCTGCCTCTCCCCATCATCACCCACTGATGTGCGTGTTGCAGCTCTTGCCGCCACCATCAATTTTGTCCAGGCCCTTGACTCGGCGCCTGACCGTGAGCGCTTCCAAGACCTTTTGCCACTGATGATGCAGACACTCACTGAGGCGCTCAATCGGGGCGAGGAGGCAACCGCCCAGGAGGCCCTTGAGATGCTTGTGGAGCTAGCAGGGACTGAACCAAGATTCTTGCGACGTCAGCTCCCAGATGTTGTTGGCAGCATGCTTCAGATTGCCGAGGCTGATAGGCTTGAAGAGGGAACACGGCACCTTGCAATTGAATTTGTTATTACTCTTGCTGAAGCTCGCGAGCGTGCCCCTGGCATGATGCGCAAGTTGCCGCAATTTGTTGGCCGGCTATTTGCAGTGCTTATGCGGATGCTGTTGGATATCGAGGATGACCCTGCTTGGTACACTGCTGATAGTGAGGATGAGGATGCGGGCGAGTCAAGCAATTATAGTGTGGGGCAGGAGTGCCTTGATCGTCTTGCCATTTCACTTGGTGGAAACACAATTGTTCCCGTTGCCTCTGAGCTGCTGCCTGCCTACCTGGCTGCCCCTGAGTGGCAGAAGCACCATGCTGCCCAAATCACTCTTGCGCAGATTGCTGAAGGATGCTCAAAGGCACTGTTTCCATTCCCTTTTTTATTTCCATTTTGTTAGAGCATCATTTTTTTTTTTTGTGTTGATTGAATTTTGCTGCTTTGTTGTTGTGTTTATTGGGTTTGATTGTGTTTATTGAGTTTCTTTGGTCCCATTTTGATTCACACTTTCTGAAGCCATATTTTTTTTATTGTTTTTATTTTTTTGTATTTTGCGGATTGAAGTTTGGTGCCTTTTATTGTTTCCATTCGTTCTTGATTGTGTTTGATGATTGCCATTTTGATTCACATTTCTTTGAGCCATCTATATTTGTTGTTTGAATTGAAGTTAGTGTTTTTTTTCTTGTGTTTGTTCACACTGATTGTGTTTGATGAGTATCTCTGTTTCCCATTTATATTTGTGCATTTGATGTGGTTCTTGGACCACCATTTCTATGTGCGGGGCATCTTTTTTTTTTCTTTCTTGGTTGGTGGATTGAATCTTGCTGTTTCTTTAATGTTTTTGTTCATTGATGAAGTTATTTGAACTCCATTTTGATCCACAGTTTGTTGGGCAACTCTTTTATGCTGTTTGCTGCTTTCTGGTTCGTATTCATTCTGATTGTGTTGGATGATGTTCTTGAATCCCCATCTAGATTCTGCATCTCTTTTTGTTGAGCACATTTATGTTTGCTGCTTTTGGTGTGGTTATTTGTTCTAATTGCATTTGATGAGGTTCTTCAGTCTCCATTTTGATTATCAGTTCTTTAGGATATCGTTTTTGTTCTGTTGATATTGCCTCTTGTGTTTATTCTTTCTGATTGGGCTTGATGAGGTGCAGGTGATGCTGAAGAATTTGGAGCAAGTGGTTACGATGGTTTTGAACTCGTTCCAGGATCCTCATCCTCGAGTGCGTTGGGCTGCCATTAATGCAATTGGGCAGCTATCAACAGATCTGGGTCCTGATCTGCAGGTCCGGTACCATCAGCGTGTCTTGCCTGCATTGGCTTCAGCCATGGATGATTTCCAGAATCCCCGGGTTCAGGTAAGAAAGGGGCCTTTCGTAGGTCAAGTAATGTTTCTGAATCACTTCTTTCGAAAGTGCTTATTTGGATATCTTTTGTTTGTTGCGTGCTTCTGTGTTTTCTGCTTCTAATTGATTGGTTATTGTTAAAATCTCCTCGTCGAAAGCATTTGCTGCTTTGTGGAAAACTATCAGTAATGTTTTAGTCTTAGTATACCTTGTTTTCTGATCGATAATGGTCACTGATAGGCAATCTTTTCATCTTTATGAATTATTGTGTGTGTTTAAACTGAAGTATTTTCTTTTTGCATGGTGGTGTTATTGAGCCTGCTTTAATCTTTATCATTGTATACATGCTTACATGCTCTAATGTTTATCATTGTATACATGCTCTAATCTTTATCATTGTATACATGCTCTAATCTTTATCTAACCATGAATTGGACTGTTAGAAGTGGTTAGTGATAAGATAACTATCTGTTTTGCGTTCTAATCTGTTTGAACTCTGAAAGAATGGAACTGCTACGGAGTGCCCGTTTTCCATTCTTACAAATTCCTTGTGAAGACGTAAATGTAATGATAGGTGTATGTTCTGAAAGTACCATAAACACTAGAATGTTGGAAAAGTCTTGTACATAGCATACTTCCTTTGGTATGTTAGCAATATTTAAGGAGCTCATTTATTCGCTCACTTGTGTTGCATGCTGTCTATTACTATGGGCTTCTTGAGAATTTTCAACTTGTGCCATATCATATTTAATGGATGGCACTTTATGCTGCATTAGGTACACTGTATGCAGAGACTTGCTTGGACTATGAAACTTTTGAAACAAATGCAACGATTCAGGAGTCTGCAATCTGATTATGTCCTGATGTTTGTTTAGAAAAAGCTTTAAAGTGCAAGAAAAATATCCTGAGTACTCTGGAAACATAACCCGTATTGTTTGAAAATGTGCTCATACTGTTTCTTGTAGAATAATGTGGTTGCTTTAAGTGTTGTATGAATGTATAATAACAAGTGTTACTCTTCAAAAAAATGTAAACCTGTCCAAATGATTCATATTTCAGTGGCTTAGGATTTGTCTCTGGAGTCCTATCCCGGGTTCCTTAAAGCAAAACCAGCTGACTACTATACTATACTATAGGCTACTTCTAGCTTCTATAGTGGCCCTTCCACTTTGGTGTAGTTTTAGTACTTTTACTGAATGTTCATAAGCTTCAAACAAAGGCGAACAGTATGAGCCCTTCTCCGGCCTGGGAAAAAGCAGCATACTCTAGAAGCTAGGGCTTTGTTCACCCGAGCGGTATGAGCCCTTCTCCGCCCTGGGAAGATGGTAAATGGCGGAGGAGAGAGAAGGTGCATCGAGCAGAAAGAATAAATTTATATAAAGAGAGCAGAAAACAGAGAGGGGTTGGGAAGAGGGGTATAACTGGTAGAAGATGTGTAAAGTTTAAGGGAGTAGGTAGGCGAGACGGTAGGGACGTGGGTGTAGAAAGAAAATTGGGGTTTGTGTATAGAGAAGAGGGTGGAGAAGGTTGGTTGCAGAGAGGGCAGAAAGTAGGTTAGGGAGAGAGAGAGGGTATATAGGAGATATAGAGAAAGGTAGGTTTGAGTGGGGGTATGGATGTAGAAGAGCATACCTTGTTTAAGGAGTTCCTGCTGAAAGAGCTTGGCCGAAGAATGAAAGCAGAAGAGCTTGCTGATAAGGCGGAGACTGTGATGTAGCGAGAACTTCCAGTCTCTGCCAGAATTCTTCTGCTGGGGCTAGAGGTTTGAAATAGAGTTGAGATAGCGATAGGAGAGGGGGTGTTGTTCTTCAAGCTCCAAATGTACACAATGGGTTGTGGGGGGCTAAAATGCCCTCATAACCCTTTTTTTGACCCTTGCCGAGGGCCTTTTTCTGCCTTTGGTCAAGGGCAACCATTGGGCCAGCTATGTGGCTCAAGGGCGCCTAGGCACGAATCTGAGAGCCACACTACATAGGGCCCCGCTTAGGCCCTATAAGTGCTGTCCCTTGGGCTGCCTAGGCACCTAGGCGCCCAGGTGGCCTGCTTAGGCATACAAGTTTTCTTTCATTGATTGAAATTTTGACCCGTAGGGGTGACTCTTCTTAACTTTCCATTCTAGTCATGGATTGAAAGTAATATCCCAAGTTCATCACATCACAATGACATTGAGGTACTTGTTCAAAAGGTCTTATGAGCCACATCCATTTTCTTGTCATGTAATATTAGTATAGTTTATAAGACAAGAAATCATTTACCAATATCTAGAAATTGATTGTCATTTATAGAAGAAAATTATGTATTAGAAAATTGTGTATTCTCTTTGATTGGAATATTTTTTCAATAAGAATTTACTTTCCTTTGAAACCTGTAAACATCTTACCATTTTGCAGATCCTTTGTATATTAGCCTCCTTCCTAAAGGCCTGCGTGGAATAGACCAGTGTTTTTAAACAACGCCGATCCTAATCTGGAGTGGGAATTGATGGGAACCAACCCAATTCCCGATCAGAATGAAGAATCGCCTTGGTTCCTAGAGAATCGTCTAGCTACCCTAGGTAACCGACAGATTCTGTTAGGGAACCAGATGATCCATATCACTTAATTTATATTTTTTATTATATTTTCTCTTTCTTTTTTTTTTTTTTTTTTTCAGTTTTTTAATTGAAAAAATTGACCGATTCTCACCCAGGAGAATTGGTCAGATCACTGATCCAGATCGGTGATTCGTCGATCTGTACTGGTTTCCCCGATGGCGGTTTCACCAGCCAATCCGGGTTTTAAAACATTGAAATAGACAAATGTGAAGGTTCACTATATCTAAGATGCTGTTTGCATACATTCTCTTATAAATGAAATGGACAATTGTTGTATATTGAGCTTATAATATGCGTACGCTTGTATATTCCATTCTGCAAGTATTTTGTTACCTTCTTCCATTTTGTTGCCTCATTTTGAGTACAGTTTCTTAGACATATCTTGTTTAATGAAATGGATAGTTGTTGTATATTAATTTATAGTATGCATATGCTTGTATATTCCATTGTGCAAGTATTTGGTTACCTTCTCCCTTTTTGTTGCCTCATTTTGATTACAGTTTCTTAGTTATGTCCTGTTTTATTTCTCCTTTTTCCATTATTTGATCATTGCTTTCCCGAAGTTTGTAAAAAAAAAAAAAAAAAAAAAACAAACTTTCTTCCTGGATGCTGTAGGCACATGCTGCTTCCGCTGTTCTCAACTTCAGTGAGAACTGTACCCCTGATATTTTGACACCTTACTTGGATGGAATCGTCAGCAAATTGCTTGTACTTCTACAGGTGCTTTTTATGTCAGCTTCCATTTCTCTCCGATATTTTTCTTTCTTAATGTTCAAATATCCTTCGTTCTTTTTATTAAGAGGGGGAATTGGTTTTGTAAGCCCCTATTAATCCTGTGATGTTGCTGTTTGGCATCCAGAATGGGAAGCAAATGGTTCAAGAAGGAGCTTTGACAGCTTTAGCTTCTGTTGCAGATTCATCTCAGGTATATTATCATGATTATTGTTAGTTGTGGTTTTATTTCCTTATAGGGTTGTCTGAAAAACGTTTTGGCTTTCCAATTGAATTATTCCAATGTTTTCTATCTACATAGGAACACTTCCAGAAATATTATGATGCTGTCATGCCTTATCTCAAAGCCATCTTGGTGAATGCAACTGACAAATCAAACCGCATGCTTCGTGCCAAGTCCATGGAGTGTATAAGTTTGGTTGGAATGGCTGTGGGTAAGGAAAAGTTCAGGGATGACGCTAAACAGGTAACGGTTTGCTCTCTATGTTTTACTTGGCAATGTGATAAATGTGTTATGTTTCTATATGCAAACTTATTCCTATATTAAGCAAGTATTCCTTGTTTTCTTTTCTTTTCTTTTTTTGTAGACTTTGAATAAATAGTCATGGTTTATCATTAATTATCCTGTAAACATCTCCTGCTAGGTTATGGAAGTGCTTATGACTCTTCAAGGAAGCCAGATGGAGGCTGATGATCCAACTATAAGCTACATGCTACAAGTATGCCCCTATCAAATTTCAGATGTTTTGACCAGCGAAGTCTGAATTGAACTCCTTGATATATATATATATATATATATATATATATA